AAAAACAAAAAAACAACAATTCAGATTAAGAAAACAAATCCCAGAACAGCTTGTTGAAGATGAAAACACAGAGGAGGATCTGATGAGTAGCTGGCTGAACACAGTCGAGTACTCAAACGCAGTGGCAAATATAACAGAAAATTAACCAAGAATACATTTTTGTTTGAATTTGGATTTAGGCATCCTTAAAACTTCTGTATTCGGAGGTCATGCATCATGAAACGCATGGGCTTTGAATTGTTACATGGTTTTTGATGATGAAAATTGACTTCCAAATGGTTTGACCAGTGAGGTGGACAACTTTTGAGTTTTCACTATACACAGGAAATATGTTTGATCAGTATGTCACTTTTTCATGAGATTTTCATGAAATGCTTGGATTCACATGGGGCAAATAAGTCAGCTATTTGGTCGTTTTTGTTGTCGTGACAAAACACCCGAAAGCCTAAGAAGATTGCTGATTATCACTGTGGTGACATATTGTGTTGTATTTAATAGAGAACACAACATCTGTCCTCCACTCGAATATCACAGATGGTTTTGGTATTTTCATTGATGATGATTAAATGTTTTGGGGCATTTAATATAGCTTGGCTCTGGCTTTTGCTTTACTTATGGCTCTTATAAACCTTCCGTATTTATTATGTTTTGTAGTGACACTCATATAAACCGTCTGTATTTGTTGTGTTTTGCGGTGACATTTTAAAGACTAAAAAAAAAAATATATATATATAGAAATAACGTCATTCAAATCATCCATTCTGTCCATCTTCTATCGCGCTCGCCTTGTTCAGGGTCACAGCTGCAGATGGATTTTATCAGAGTTCATTCAGGGTGAAAGGCAGGCTACACCCTGGAGGTACCCGGCAAACCCAGGTCGATATTGAACCTATGTGAACTGCTACCCGTGGCCTCCATGAAAAAATCGGTACAATTGAAAGCCCCCTGAGGTCCCCCGATCTGGAATTGAAGGCACATTGAGTAGGTAACTGGATGTGTATGTAATAAGCTATATATTGTGGAGCACTGTATCGCAGATATTCACGCTAGGTTGTATTTGAATCTCAGAGAGCGAGGCATTCAGGCCGGTTACCTCAGAAATGTTTCGTCAAGTCAGTAAAATTGCGAGTGAGTTTGTAGTTTGTATTAAATTCGCAGGGGAAGAAGGAACTAGAATGAGGCTCACTCCTTTCAGGCAAAGGATACGATATAGTTTGATGAGATCAACCTGCGTAGTTGGCCATTTGATTTGTCCCACATACTGTAGCCTATCCCCAGCCCAAATATGTCAAGCGTGACAATATTAGTCATTTCATACCCCCCCCTCCAAAAAAAAAGAGAATTGTGGGTCATATTCAACAGCCCTCCCATCATAAATCCATGCATGCACACATAGACACACAGACACTTTTCCCTGTCACCCCTTCCTCCTCCTGCTCCAAACCCCCCCCCTCCACACACAAGCACGCAAGCATGCTTCATTATACACTTGCCCACATAGCGTGCCGGAAACAGACTCAATAGATGCCAAGTCCCTGCAGGCTCAGTGCCCCTAAAACACTGGATGTACCTTCCCAAATTAGGTTAATTTGTTTTAGAGGCTGCTCAAAACAAAACACCGTCAAATATTTATTGTCTTAAAAGTTCCACATCATGGTAGGTTCTCAACTCCTTGTGTGCCCCTTGCCACGAGAACATTGAAGGTTCGTACACAGTTTCCAAATGGCCAAGAGAAACGTAGAGGGAAAGAGTTCAAAATTGCGCCCTTTTTACCCCCTTTACCATGGCACTTTGTGAGGTCAGATTGTTATCTGCCTGACTGCAGCATTTCGCCCCCTCAGTCACGTTCACCAGACTCTTCCTCCTGCGGGGGAAGATAAACAAGCACGGAAGGTAGGCTAGACTCGAGTGTGTGCGTGCGTGTGTGCGAGTGTGCAACGTGCATCCCAGTCTGCACGATTCATTGATGGCTCCATAAATAGCGCGACGTGCAACCCAAATGAAATCATTTCAAATCGTTCTCTCCCTTCACTTGCTGTTCTGTGACAAAAGGTGACGTTAACCCAGATTTGTACACAGGTTTGGTTTGGTCAGCCACAAAGAATTGAGGGCATTGATATCACAGAAAAAGGCAAAAAAAAAAAAAGAATCTGTCTGAGGACATTTGTAGTCCATCTAAAAGCCGTCAGATGATTGGTCCTCCAAAAGCCCCTGCAGGAATGTCTGGCCGTAATTCCACATTACGTCTGAGACAATACATTAAATGCACACGACCAAAACACTGCATGTATTGAGCGACAAAAGGGGTTTGGAGCTGTTTCTACACAAAAAAGTACTTTACCACCGCTATTGATTGTGACAAGGACTATCAACGACTATTTAACCGATGAAGATAAATCATGAAACTGTTGCAAATGACAATATTCTGAACGCAAAGCATTTATACACAATCCCAAATGCTGTGGAGAATGTTTTGATACATAAAGAGGTTGAAGGGGACATTAGTAGAGATGTGCATGTAAATTTTGGTATTCTTCGCAATTTTCGGACATGATGCAACGTTAAAGCGTTTTTACATGCACATGAAGCCAACGCTAACTATCCAGTTAGGATGTACCTCACGACGCAGTGTTTTAAATGACACATTTCTGAAACACGTAGCATATTTGAAATTTGAGAATCACTGGAGCTCAAGACATAAATTATTGATTTGACAATTAGTTCCATGTGGATGGTAGCAATGCGTGCATTATTCCTGCTGACTATTTTAATCCATGGACATCCAAGAGGTCATTTAATTTATGGCCACTTTTATGGTTTTTATGTCCAGAAAAGAGGCATTGATTTGCATGAATGAACACTCGACCACAGCACTTAAGTGAAACACATTTGATGTTGCATCCAAATATAATTTGGTCCACACAGGTTATTCTTTTGTGCTCACATGCTTAATTGTGTGCCTTTGTGTGTTTCCAGTCACGACTCGGGCATGCGCCCATGCAGAATAGATGAATTCATAAACAGCATGCCATCTCTCACATTAGACTGATTAACAGTTCAATCAGGGCTAAAACGGACAAAATGTCACGGGGGGTGGGGGGGATAGTTGTCATGCAAAATCAGGCTTTTTATATCCGCGTCCATCTAAAGGGATAGGCCTGCTTAGCGCTGTCACAGAGCGTTACTAATTTATCTGTGCTGTGCGAGCTGCTGATTGAGGATCTCTGCTCGACTGTTAAAATGCAGAGCTCGGAGACAGTAAGGGCGGTATTCGTGCTATTAGCGTGCGTGAGCTTGACTCCTGCTCTTTGATTGGGCAGACTGTGTCGGAGTGCAAAAAGCGCATTTGTGGCTTTTTACATGACAAACCTTGAATATCAAGTCAAGCCTTGCCGTGGCTGCGTGACTCCAAGACTTCTTAGTGTGTCAAGACTCTTTGTGTGTTTGTCTCCTGCGTGTCCTCTCACTCTATTTCCCTCTGATGGCCTGAGAGGGCATTTCATGTCTGGCATGCAGCCATGCACGGAGGACCATCTGATAGCAGTGACCGCTGGCCCCAAGTTGGCCAGAGGTATTTAATGTGGGGTCAAGTGTTGGCTTGGCGTGATGCTTTCCCTTCCTAATGGTGAGCTGATAGATAAATGCCCTGAAAGCGTGCGCAGCCACATACCAGACAGAAGCTGGGTTAGGCTTGTATTACTGCTCTCCTCACACAACCCTCCTGCGGTCGCTGTCACGTTACTGACTGATGCACCATCGCATCTTTAAACTATTCAATACAGGGAATTCATCGGCCACATTTGGCAATTTTACTACGGTATGGCTGCGACTCAGAAAAAAAATAAGCACGATGTACAGTCTATAGGCTTAATACCATGAGCTTGACTGATTAATCTATTGAATAGCGTGTGCATCAAATGGGTTTAATATGGTGCACATCACGCTAAGGGATTTACTCTTACATTAACCTCAGAGGCTAAGAGCTATTAATCAGTTTACCACCCACCTTAAATCCTGAAAAAGTTTACTTGATATTTTGGGCTAATAGGGCGGAGGACACGACATCGGAAGACTCAACCCCTAAGGCACGCGTGTGCAGTAGAGCCTCGAATGTTGAACAAATTCCCATGTGTTTGGATTTCATAAGAATGATTCCCTGCAGGAAAAAAAAAATTGAAGCTCTGAAAAAAAAAAAAAATCTCAAACTGTCACCGTCATTAAACCTTTAATAAATGTACAGGCGATGTTTGAAGTAACACTGTTTCAAACACAGGGTACTGTGTGTGTTTGTCCTGTTGCACACTAGCATATTATAGCGTCTGCTTTGGATTACTTGAGTCAGTGAACTCAAATTTATTAACGACCAAAACACATTTTTTTTTTGTATTCTTGTGGTTGTCATCGTAAAGCAGGAAGAGCACACACAGTCGTGAGTGTTGTGTTCGTGAGATGGGAAATTGGAGCACTCAGAACATGACATTTTTGCCACAAGCCCTCAATGGCAAAACATAACAATAAAACACATAACCTAGTTCGTTCTTCCTAATTTGTTGATATCAAACCATCTTTTCGATGTATTCCATTTATTTCAGAGACTGTTCAAGTTTTTTTTAGTACATTGGAGAGGTGCCTGTAGCAAATAAAACATATTTGAAAACTTTAGAGGCACTGCAGATATCGTTGATGATACAATAGGAATAATTTAAGACCTAATATAGACCCTTGAGGAACCCCATCATCGACCTTCAACATCTTGGATTTGAGCTTTTCTCGGAAATTTTATATATGTTTTTAGAGTGTTGAGAGTGTGGATGAACCAAACTAAAATAAGAGTATGTGAGGGTGAGAACAGTAAGAGGATGTTTGCCCTGGCCACAAGAAACCCGGCCATGCCATTGTTGGGTTTCTTGTCTGATGTGTTGACACAACAAACCACTTTCTATGTGGACCTGAATGATTTCCATTCTAGCTATTTCTGCTTCTTCTCTGCTGGTTTCCAGGAGACAAGGAAATCTGCGTGAAGGCAGAGGAGGAGATGAGGGGAAGAGATGACACTGACGCATCCTTACTGTTCTACCATCCACCCACTCCCCTGTCGAGAACAAAGAGGTCGGAAGTTAACATCCGTTTTACAGCACACATTCATTGTTACTACCTTCTAAGGCAACATGTTAATCTGAAACTGAATCAACACACCCTATGAAAAGTAGCATACAATGACATATTGAATGTGTTTCACTTTATTTCCTTCCTTATGCGGCACGGGGACACAAGACACTAAGTCGACGCTGTTCGGTTTACGCGCCCATCTGTTTGAAGATAAAGCAGGCAGAAGTAAAATGATGGTATGTTGCTTTACATTCTCGTCAATGCCAGGTGGCACTCCCATGTCCCCATATGATGCACCATATGCTATGAATATGCATTAACTTTGCTATTTATCTCACGTGTCTCTGACACAGGAAGAACAAGAGCTACCCCAGAGGACGTACAGTTTAATATAAAATAGAATCACACTCGCTGATACTTTTTGAGGCCATGACATTATTAAATGTAGACACAGGAAGAACAAGAGCTACCCCAGAGGACGTATAGTTTAATATAAAATAATCACACTCGGTGATACTTTTTGAGGCCATGCCATTATTAAATGTACTTAGCACAGATACCCAACAACAACAAAAAAAAGCTTAGAATCAGTCATTCTACATGCATTAGGAATTACAGAATAGCTAAAATGAAGTCACCGCAATGTGTACAGAATTTGTTTTTCCGACCAGCAGGGTTTGATTTTTATGTCTTACTTTGCTCATATTATCCCTGCTAAGAAGGTGAAATATCCCAAACGCTACAGCGTCGCGATAATCGTGGCGGTGGTAGCTCATCTTTCATTTAATTTGGGCATCAAAAACCGAAGGTCACGAAAAGAATGCTGCTGCGGGCAAATGCAAATGGCAAGTAGTTGTTGAATGCATGTGAGCCTGCTTCCTGACAGGTGTTAAGGTGCCTTTGAACAAGGCACCGAGCCCATCCCACTTCCCTGAAGTTATGCGGCACTGCTTGCGTGACCTTTTCAATCTGAGATCCGTCGTCGCATGTCTGAATGTGTGTGGTTTTCTGCGCGCTTTGCGACACAAACACGCATCAGGGTGTTCGATCAATTTGAATTTTCAGGTATTATCATGTGGATATTCGAAATAAGGTAACAGTTAGGTGGTGATTGCACTTTGACATCCGTACTAGAGAAGATAAAAAAACAGAGCAAACCTAGCATGCTACAATGATATGCTACAACTCATATGGTTGGAAAGAAGAAAAATTTTTGACAATGATGAGTCGTCGTCGGTATTTATTTGCATTTTTCATTCTGTGCCCATAAACAGACTGCTCCCTCCCCTCCTCCCACGGGGAATCACACAAACAAACAAACAAACAAACAAACAAACGCACGAACATTCCACTTCTCCATTCATCCATCAATTTATGTTTCTGAGAGCGCCAACTCAGATGGAAGTCAATGTTGTGTATTGATTTTTGAGATGGACATCTTTCTCTCTGCGGTGGTCGGTTTGTTAAGCCTCACAAGGGACGTGCGATCATCACGCTAAGAGCAAGGACTGTCAAATTTGACCCCAAAGCTACCCCCCACCCACCAACAAACCCCACCCCTGATCATCTCTGTCCTCCACTTGGATTCCTATAGGTCTGCAAAAGAGGCGATGTTCTGGGCTTAACCCCCTGCTGTGAATACCACCAACATCATTTATTGGAGAAGGCTTAGGGTAGCTGGGCTGGGGGGGGGGGGGGGGCGGTATGGACGGAAAACAAAAAAAAAACCCCAACAACAGAGCCAGTGTGCGTTGTGAGTGTACAGCTGTGGGCAGCGCCACATGCGCCGGTCGGTGTGTAGGGCAGAGAGGAGGCAGCATGCTAACAGGCCCATTTAAGTGCTGTTCATCCCGGTGTGCTGGGAGAGCTCCGGGTACCAGGTTTTAATGGTGGGCTGCTGAGATGGACACAGATGATCAAATCCCTAAATTCCTTGTAACTGTACTTTGTTCTTTGAAACTGTTGGACTATTTACTTACACAGTTGTTCACAGTTGCGTGTGAGCAACGGAGCCTTTTTTTTTTTTTGGCGATGTTCCTCTTATACTCACTCGTGACACTCACCTGTTTCCAGTTGGCCCGTTCACCTGTGGAATGTTCCAAACAGGTGATTTTTTTTAAGTATTCCTCAACTTTCTCAGCTTTTTGGGAAGTGTTTCTGTCTTTCTTTTGAATCTGGATTATGTAGAAAAGTAGCAAATTTATCATACAGGGCTGTAGTATTTCATACGATTTGCCGAAACAGTGTTGTGCCATGTGACATTTTGTTGCATTGCAAAAACTGTTCTTTTGCTTTTGCTATTGTCAGTCTCCTTATGGTGTCAACTTTTCGCCCTAACCGCCTCTTCCAAAATTCCAAACAAGGTGTGTCTGCCCTTTTCTGACTCGTCACGGTGAATATTCAACATTGGCATGTTCCCCGCATGCTGAGCGTGGCGTTCCGGTCCAACTGTAGCTGAAGGATGAGTTGTTTTCAGCAGCACAGCACACCGCCTGAGCACCTTTTGTTCTGCGCTAGGCGCTGATACTACCCAATTCTTCGTTTAAGTGTCATAGCCACAAAGGAGCTGAAACACATATGCAGTCATGTGACGGAACAAAACGTCCACCTCCGGCGGAGAGGGAAGCACAGTGGGGGGGCGACGGGCTAGAAACAACAGAGAAGGAGAAACAAGAGGGGCATTACGCTTACCTCCTTTAATGTTTTGTGTGTGGGTGCGTGCGTGCGTGTGTCTGCTCACGTCGACGCAATGTCACAGGACAAGATGTTCACTTTAGGGGTGATTAGTGAGCGCGTGGAAAGAACAATAGGCCAGAATAAAGCTCTGAGTCCTGTGTGCAAAAATGAAGAGTCTTTCTGCAACTGAGATGCTTTGCCCCAATGTCACACTTCAATAGATACGCATAGACGGTCGCTTTTGTGCACGTAGCCCTTTGCTTTTTCTAGACAGTTCTAACTCCTGTTTGCTCAGATGACAACAAACAGCGCACTTGACAAAATACAAGCGGACGATTGAGACAATGCCTTTAAATCGCCTGCGTTTGCATGTACTCTTGCGTACACGCTTGCATACGCACGCCATGACATGCATTCACATGCTTTAACTTCATTCATTCGAAAAGAGATGCTGCATTTAGTTTGCCGGTGCATTCTTAACATATTCACTCACTGGCTCTCGCTCTCTGTGATCTTCACTCAGCAGCACATCCAAATTTTGCGGTTTTCTTTCTTTTCATCTGAAACATGCAGTCGTCTGGTTTTATAATATGGAAAATAGCATTTCTGTCATGCCTTTTTTTTTTTTTTGGTCAATTGTTTAGCTTCATGAGATGGGTGAAAATATTTCACATTTCTCAAAATGGTTCGTAGTAGTCTGAAAACTACCATGATTTAAAATAATTTTTAAAAAGTCACTCATTATGATATGGCGGACCGGATTATGATAGCAATCTAAAAGTAGAAAGGAAACCACATAGACACGGTAGTTACACACGGGCAGTCTTGTGCCGTATGCGCAATAGTACAATGTGTTCTTTGGAACGCCTTTGAGCAGACAGAGTTACATCATTGACACAGTCTTGTCAACCTTACAACTTTATTTGCTCAGAGCTCCTTCACTGTAATCTCTCACCAGTGGGGTGTGTTCTTCGTCTTTTTTTTTTCGGGGGGGGGGCACATACAAAGCGACAATTCTTATTTTCAGGAAAGAAGATGAACATCTGTGGGGTACCGTTATTTGTTCTCCCAGACTTCTGACTGCCCAACAACGGGAGTTTAACCACTTTTGCTCTCCCTTTCCCTCCCTCCATCAATTCATTTTTAATGGGAGCATGACAAAGTCTTCCAAGAGAGACCACATGTCCCATTGAGCTCTCCTCATTTTACTCCGTCGCACTCGCTCCCTCACTTCTAGCCTCTTTCAATAATGAATGGCTGCTAGCCAGACACACTCCTCCCTTTTTTATGATCCTCCTACTCAGTAAAACCTCAGCAGGCCACTGGATGAGGGTGCCACATGTGTTGTGTCTTTATACTCCAGTCAGTCTATACGGGAATTGCTTCCTTCCTCCTTCTATGGTGCTGATTTTGCTGTTCCGCCTACGTGTTGCCTGCCTGTTTTCTAAAATGAGGGGGGGGGGGGCAGATTATTTGAGGGAGGCGTCGGGTAGGGTTGCTTCATCAGGTGATTGATGATCTGCAGTAATGACTGCGAGACAGCATGGGGATTATTGTGCACTATTAGTACGGGGGTTGTCTGGGGCCTACTAAAGTGACAATATGAGATTATAATCCGCAGGTCATCTCAAGGTCACTGGGGCCTTTGTGAAAGAGGTGCTTTACCACATGCTGTGTGGAAAATGTGAAGCAAAACATCCCAACAGTTGAATATTTTGACAGAAGTGTACCTGTAATGTTGAAAAGAAAACAACAACAAAAAACAGTCATTCCAATTGTTGCAGCGTTGTCAAACAGATTTTCTCAAAGGAGTAATAAAGTTGTATCCAAATTGTAGGAGCAGCTCTTTGTTGGGGTGTCTATCGCAGTGTGTAGAGTTGAGCTAGAGAAACTGGTCTTCCTCATAAAACATTGAATTCATTGAACTGTTAAAAAAAATGTATAGTGTAGCGCTTATGTTATACAAGGACTGAATAATTTCATTCAAGTCACTCATAAAGCTGAAAAAAAAATCATACAGTTGACTTTCTGAAAATTGCACATTTCTCGTAGTATAAAATTAAATAATATTCGGAGCCGTCTTTCTCGTTGGGAAGTACAATGGCGAATCCAACACTGTCATGAAAAAGCAAGCCCGATCCGGCTTTACCCGATTCGAACCAAACTCCACTGCGTTTTGGAACTGTGGCTGTCAAAGATTCGCACTCTTGCAAACCACCTGTAGACAACGTCAAGTCTGCAGTTAACCTAGTATGCTTGTCTATGGACTGTGCGAGGATGCTGAGGTGCCTGGTGAGAACAAGCGCAGGGAGAACATTGGAGCT